GAGATCACAGGGATGGCTTGGCAGGGACGGCACGCCATGGGACTTGGACTTAGCTGCGAGTCAGAGTCCCTCAAGACCCTGGGCACTATCCCAGCCTCCCCCATCTACAGTCCCTAGTGAAGATGCCACCGGGTCACCTTGGAGCTAGGAGCCAAGTAAGCTCCAGGGACAACATCTGGGAACGTGAGGCCATTCTGAAACTCTGAGATGTCCCCTCTCTGTCCCGCTGCCTAATTCCCCAGAGCTGCTGGCTGTCAACTGAGACAGCGGAGGCAGCTTGAATGTGGAAGCCGGCTCTGCGTGTGACGGGAGATTCTCAAATCCTTTCAGACACCAGGTTCTTCACCAAGTCAAGTCCGGTGCGTGTTGTGGCATGAAGACTTAGTCCTTCAGACAATGAGTCTCTGTTGAGAACGACCCACGTGCGGAGTCCTCGGTTTCTAACCCAGTTAGAGGCAGGACATTTTACACAGCACCATTTATTAAGTGTTTCCTATGTGCCTGGCACTTCCAGTACATTAAATATAAATGTGACTTTTATGGGAGCGTGAGTGAAAGCTTGGATGCTAGAACCGGACGACGGCTCGAACCCTGACACTGCTCTCTGACAGCGATGAGACCTCGGTCAAGACCTTCTGTTTTTCTTTTGTTTCTTTTTTTTTTTTTTTTTTTTGAGTTGGAGTCTCACTCGGTCACCCGGACTGGAGTGCAGTGGCCGGTCCCAGCCACCGCAGCCTCGACCTGCTGGTGGGCTCCGGCGATCCTTCTGCCTCAGCCTTCTGAGTAGCCGGAATTACAGGCATGTGCTACCATGCCCGGCTGATTTTTTGATTTATTGTAGAGATGAGGTTTCGCCTGCCCAGGCGGGTCTCGAACCCGCGGGTTCAGGCAGTCCACTCACCTCAGCCTCCCAAAGGCGTGGGATTACAGGCTGAGCCACTGAGCCCGGCCTTTTTCCCATTTTTATAGCATTTTCCATTATATTAAAAACTATACTTTAATGGTAAACAGCCTATTAAGGATTCTTCGAAATTTAGAAATATGATATGCTGATATTTCTATGTCTATGTCTCTGAGAAAATAGTATATATAAAAAGGATATATAATAAAATTTCCATCCCAGAATGGTTCAGAATCTAGACATCTCTATTTTTCCCCAGTAGTAGAGATGGAAAAATGTAGTGACTAGCCAGAGTTTCACGCATAAAGAAGAAACTAACATATTTTCTCTCCTGGCTTAAAGTGTCGTTTCCGTTACTTTTGGGAACGTTATGTAGTCTGTCATTGTTTTAATGCTTTCTGCCATGTTAAATTTTTCAAGAATTCAAAAATATTTAGATTTGACCTTTATTTCCTTTTCTACTATTTTTCAAAAAGTATCAATACCCAGACATTTAGGTTTTGTCCTGGAGTTAAAACAAAATACCTGTGGCAAGGAGAAGAAATGCACTCTGATAAATCAACCAAGCAGCAAACCAGTCTTTTTTCTGAGTTGGAGTCTCACTCCGTCGCCCAGGCTGGAATGCAGTGACATGCTCACGGCCACCCCAGCGTTGACTTACTGGTCTCTGGAGATCCTTCTGCCTCAGTCTTCCACCTAGTCAGAACTACAGGCACGCACCACCGTGCCTGGCTAACTTTTAGATTTTTTTGTGGAGATGAGGTCTCGCCAAGTTGCCCAGGTTGTTCTTGAACCCGTTGGCTCAGGCAGTCCCCTCACCCCGGCCTCCCAAAGTGTTGGGATTATAGGTTTGAGCCACTGCGCCTGGCCAACCAGACAGTCTTAAACATAAGCAATTACTCTGGCTTTATTATTGGGTACATACTACCTGTCTTTAAAAGCATTTAAACTTTGGTTTACACTTTTTTAAAAGGTATTTGTCACCTAAATCTCAGTTTGGATCAGCATCACAGCCTGAAGTTGTACAAGAAGTCAGGAAAAACTCCCTATCTAAGGTATGTTGGTGCTAAAGATGTTCTTAGCTTTGCTAGTTTACTAATGCTGTAGATTACTACTTCCTGTAATTTTCTACCTTTTAAAAAAAATTTCACTGTAGTTAATGGACCACTCTTTCTTAGCCATCTTAAGCTCATGTAACCCAGGGATCAGCAAACTTTTTCTCTAAAGGGCCAGATAATAAGTATTTTAGGCTTTGCAGTCAATACAGGTCCTGTCACAGCTATTCAACCATGCCACTGTAGTGTAAAAGCATTCATAGACCATATGTAAATAAATGTGCTTGTCTGTATTCCAATACAACTTTGTTTACAAAACAGGCAGTGCGCTGGATTGGGTCCGTTGGCTATAGCGTAGTATTCCTTGACCTAGATAGTCAAACTCACAAAACTCACAGCTGGTACCAACTTCACTTAGATTAGAATGTGACAAGATGGGAAACAACGCATGCTCACAGGGCAGCATCAGGCTGTCTGTTCAGCAGGAATCCTCAGCAGCAGGAATCCGCAGCAGCAGAGCTCCTAAGTAGTGGCCAGAAACAAGACCACACAGGTGTGATATCCATCCTGGCTTAGAAGCCACATGCTCTGTAAGAGTTATTTCTCATAACAAGCCATAGTAGAACTGGGCACAGTGGCTCACGCCTGTAATCCCAGCACTTTGGGAGGTGAAGGTGAGAGGATCGCCTGTACTCACAGGTTTGAGATTAGTCTGGACAAGGTCTGGCATGACCTTGTCTCTACAATAAGTCAAAAAATTAGCCAGCGTGGTGGTGCAGGCCTGTGGTTCCAGCTACTTGGAAAGCTGAGGTGGAAGGATCGTTGGCACCCAGTAGGTCGACACTGGGGTGGCTGTGAGTGTGCCACTACGCTCCAGCCTGGGTGACAGAGTGAAACTCCAACTCAGAAAAAAAACACACCTGGTCAAGAGTTATGAGTTAATTATAAGAGTTACAGAAACCCCAAGCTTTGGCTTCCCACTAGGTATTTATAAAGCATTCATAGTCCTAGTATAGATACAGTTCACAGTCACCAGTCAGTTTTACTATAAGTTTTGTAGCTTAGTAATACAGTTGACATTATACCTTTATCAGGTTTCCAGGAAAGTAGAACCAGGAAAGGTGAAGTCATGTTGCAGTTTCCTACATAGAAATTTTAGGTCAGGCATAGAGGTTCATGCCTGTAATCCCAGCACTTAGGAAAGCCAAGACGAGAGGATTGCTGGAACCCATGAGTTTAGACTACCCTGGCAACATAGTGAGTCCTCATCTCTACAAAAATTAAAAAATTAGACAGGCGTGGTGGTTCCATGCACATGTTTTCCCAGCTATTCAGAAGGCTAAGGTGGAAGGATCACCTGACCCCAGAGGTTGAGGCAGTGGGCAGCTGTGATTGTGCCGCTGCACTCCAGCCTGGGTGACAGACTGGGACTCCAATTAAAAAAAACAAATTTTGTTAGCTCTTTTGTCACAGGTTAGTAACATTTTTTTCAATTCAACTAGGTGTTTTTATAGTACCTGACACGTGTAATGGACATTTACTATGTACCACTTAATGTATGTATTATTTTATTTAATCTTCATCACAACCACAAACTCTATAAGGTAGTTATCCTTCTTGTGTCTGTTTTACAGTTAAGAAAACTGAGACACAGAGCATTGAAGAGACATGCCCAGAGTCTCTCAAGTAGAGTTAATAGAGGGAGAAATCGAATCCATATAGTCTGGCTCATATTGGAACTGAGGATTGGTGGAAGAGGCATTGTGGGACTAGGATATTTTTCCTACCCAGATACTCATGCTCACAGCAAAACTAGGGAAACAACCTAGACTTTGACCAGTCCAAACCACATTGTTCATAAATTTAGGTAGCTGGAAGCTGCAGTGAGCTATGATCACACCACTGCACTCTAGCCTGGGCAACAGAGTGAGACCCCGTCTCTTAAATAGAAAAAAAAAAAAAAGAGCCGGGTGCAGTGACTCACAATTTAATCCTAGCACTTTGGGAAGCAGAGATGAGGGGATTGCCTGAATCCAGAGTTTGAGACCAGCCTGGACAACTTGGCAAAACCTCATCTCTACAGTAAATCAAAAAAGTTAGCCAGGTGTGGTGGTGCACACCTGTGGTTCTAGCTACTTGGAAGACTGAGGCGGAAGGATCACCTGAGCCCAGCAGGTCGAGGCTGCAGTGGCCATAGGCATGTCACTGCACTCCAGCCTGGGTGACAGAGTGAGACTGCTACTCAAAAAAAAAGAAGGAAAGAAATGCTGTTAGTAATGATAAAGGCCAAGCAAAAGTAGGTAAGAGAACAGATCTAAGATCTCCAGTCACAGACATAAGATCTCTGCCTTGTTTTGAGGCAGATTCTCACCGAAGGATTTATTCCTGAGACTTTCCCATTGTCAAAACTAGTCTTAGCTCTTCACTTACTCAAGACCTATAAGTGAGAAGAATTATGCTGGCTAAAGCAAGAGTTCTTAGCCTAAGGTCTGTGATTAGAATCCAGGGAGTATATGTGAATTTAAATGGAAGAAAAAGTTTACCTTTTGCTAACCTCTTTTTTTTTTTTTTTTTGAGTTGGAATCTCACTCTGTCGCCCAGGTTGGAGTTCAGTGGCATGCTCACAGCTACCACAGCCTCAACCTGCTGGGCTCAGGTGATCCTTCCACCTCAGTCTTCCAAGTAGCTGGAACTATAGGTATGCACCACCACGTCTGGCTAATTTTTTTGATTTATTATAGAGATGAGGTCTTGCCAAGTTGCCTAGACTGGAGCTAACCTCTTAGTATTTCCTTTATGAATTTAGACAGCGGACCACAGTACTAATAACAGCACCTGTGCCTGTCATCAATGGAAAAGACAGATATTTTTATATCACATCACATATGTTGCTGATCTCTAGGTATCATTTATACTCATCTATATTTGGATATTACAAGTTTTTAGACTTGCCACTAGATCTTATTACTTAGTGTATTAATAGATGTACATTATTACATCAAATTTTTAGAGCTTTCAATAATTGTGTTGCACTATAAACTCTTTACTTCGTTAGGCTATTATGTATCTTAATTTTTTAATTTAAAAACAGTTCTCTCAGTCCTGCCAAAAGAAGGATCCATAACACAGACAGTGGTTAAAAACCCTGGGCTAGAGGATGTTTTTAAGGGGAAAGTCGTCCGCTTCTAATGCCCGCTATCAGCTGTATGTAGAATGTCATTTAAGCTTTAATATGTAGGTCTTCATGGGACTGAAAATGAAGTAATTAATGCTTTAATCTAAATTGGTACACAATCTAAAAGGTACTGTTTAGAATTAATTACCTTATTAGTTATATGTAATAATATGTAATGATAATTCACCTATGGTGTCAGTGCAATTAGATTTATATATGATGATTTGATGTTTGCCCCCGTTTCACTCAATCTTTTTCTGTTTTCCACAGGAAATTGTCAATAGTGATGTGAAAAGCCCTCCATGGCAAGACACAGAAATTGAAGAAGACATGCCAACACTTTCTCCTCAAATATGCCCTGAAATTCAAGACCAAAGTGCAGAGTCTTCAATAGTGTCATCCATGCCATGGTTATGTGCCTGTAGTGCCAAATGGGGCCTTGATGGAAAAATCAAAACAGGACCAAACAATCATGATAAAGAATTGTGTGACTTAAATCATGAAGGACCTGACACAAGAGTTCCCTGCTCTAGAGAAGCTGCAGATATGCCTTGTGGCAAAACACAGAAAGAGTGTACTGTATCAGGCATGACACAGATCATTGAAAACAACACTGTAGAGGCAGAAAGTAAAGAGTCTTGTCAACTGATCAGTAAGGATATTTCCAAAAGAAAAAACCAAGAATCTTCATTGAAAGCAGTCAGGGATCCATGCTTATCTACAAAAAGAAGAAAAATGTTGCCCATATCTTCCTCGGATCAAGAGAACACAGAAATGAACTTTACCCAAAAATTGATAGATTTGGAACGTCTACTCTTTGAGAGACATAAACAAGAAGAACAGGACAGGTTATTAGCATTACAGCTTCAGGAAGAGGTAGATAAAGAACAAATGAAGCCAAACCGGCAAAAAGGGTCCCCGGATGGCTATCACTTACGTGCCACATCCTCACCTGTAGACAAATTGCTAAATGGACAGGGGAGGAGTTCCAGAAATGGGAGCTTCAAAAGACAGACTGATAGAGAAGGTTCAGAACCACAGCGAGGTTCCAAAAATGAGGACTGGCAACCCTTTGAAGTCCAGTTGAAGCGTTCTGTTAACGGGAGGAAGATGCCAAGCTCTACTAAAAATAACTGTAATGTATCTAAAAGCACTAGTTCCCTACAGCCTAGTAATTCACAGAAAAGTATTTTTCAGATGTTTCAGAGATACACAAAATAACATATGGGTAAAGGGAGTGTTTTGTAATCTAGTAAGCTGAATTATGAAGCTCTCTTTTCCATCATAGAATCTTTGTAAATGTGTTATTGATTTTGCTCTGTAAGCACACTGTGTTCTTTTTTTTTTTTGAGTTGGAATTCCACTCTGTCGCCCAGGCTAGAGTGCAGTGGCACATTCACAGCCACCTCAACCTTGACCTACTGGGCTCAGATGATCCTTCCGTCTCAGCCTTCCAAGTAGCTGGAACTATAGGCATACAACACCACACCCATCTAATTTTTAAAAAATTTATTTGAGATGAGGTCTCGCCAAGTTGCCTGGGCTGGCCTCAAACCTGTGGGCTCAAGCAATATCCTTACCTTGGCCTCCCAAAGTGTGGGGATTATAGGCGTGAGCCACCGTGCCTGGCCCACACTGTGTTATTAATTAAGAGACTATAATTACAAGAGAAGAATGTACATACGTGTTTTGCAAAACTCTGTGATAAGCAAATGTCTCCCTGTCTTTTCCATTGCTAATAATGGTGGTATATACTAAGTTTTACAATCCTTATGGATAAATGCTTTGACCATCTCCAAGAAATCAAGTGCCATTATCTTTCCCAAAAAGTGTATGTATTATGGCCTTTGCTTACCTTTTTGTCATGACTAGTAATCAAAGCAAGATTATACTATTCCAAGAAATTCAGGAACCCATGCAGGGTTTAAAGTCTAAGTTTTCTTATCATTGTCCCGTTTTCTTATAAAGCAGTTGAAATGTATTACTTTCCATAGCACTGAAGTAATCTAATTTCTATCTCCAATTAAATTTTAAGCATTATAGCACTCCCTTTGATTTAAAATGGATGAGGATCAATGTTAAATGAGAAAATTGGGAGCTAGTTGGCAGAAAAGAAGCTACGCTGTGTGCACAAGGAGCTAAGAGTTGAATGAGGCTGGTTGGGCGGGTTGCCAGTTTGGGAGCATCTGAACGGAGTGGGTGATCAGAAACTGGGTCCAGAACAAAGGAGCAGGTGCAGTTGGACAGAATGTTCTCCCTCGTCCTTTCTTTGCCAGCGGACATGGAAAACATTTGGTTGACAGCTTTTCACACCACAGTATCTGGCATCAGAATCAAAGTTAATTGCTAGATTACCTGAATGAAAATTCATATTTCTGTTAATTTACTGTTCCAGAAAAAAATGAGTTTACCATCAGAGAGTTATAGCACAATATTCGTTAATGTGAACAAACAACAGTTTTGATATCATTTCTGCTAATTTCTAGTCATATTTTATTATAAAAATTCAATAAAATGTTCCAGGTATAATTCTAGCTCAAATTTGTCAACATTTGTGTTATTGAGGGTTTTTTTCTCCAGATGTTGTAATTGAAATTTTGTTAATCTCTGCATCTTGATGGCATCTATGTCAATATTGATTGGATAATTATGGGTAGAATTCTGATGCTAATTTCAAATTTAGTGTGCCCTTTTATAAAAAAAGTACCCTTTAGTAATGATTATAACGAAATGAAAGAGTTGAAAATTATTATCATGTTGTTCATTAAATAAAAATAAAAAATAAATTTGTCTAAAACAGATTAAAATCTGTCTTCTTATCCAACTAATATTTTTCTAAGAGCAATTTCACTTTGTTTTAGGGTAGACATTGTTAGAGCTCCTCAAATTAAAAGTTACCGAATTAGACTGAGTGCGGTGACTCAAGCCTGTAATCCCAGCACTTTGGGAGGCCAAGGTGAGGGGACTGCCTGAAACCACGGGTTAGAGAACAGCCTGGGCAACTTGATGAGACCTCATCTCTACAATAAATCAAAAAATTACCTGGGCATGGTGACATGTGCCTGTAGTTCTGGCTACTTGGAAGGCTGAGACAGAAGAATCGCCGGAGCCCAGCAGGTCGATGCTGGCATGGTCGTGAGCATGCCACTGCACTCCAACCTGGGTGATGGAGTGAGACTCTAACTCAAAACAAAAAAAGTTCCCAAATTAAATCTTCCTGGAATAGTCCATAGCCAAAAAGTAGGGGAAAAAGTAGCCTATAATGTGATATATTAAGAGTTAATATATGCAACTAATTTGTTGTGAACAAATCTTCCTGACTAAAATGGTTTTAAGATAAATTTTAACTTTTCAGTTAATCTTTCTGCTGTTTCTACCATGTTTGCCTTTTGGTTAGGAACGAATGAATGTTTTGTGTCAGTCATTAGAATGTTATTAAATATATTACTTCTCTCATTTTTGTAGAAATGATGTGAGAATGGCTCTTTTCTCAAGAAGTGCTAAAGCTGTGCAAAGGTTGAGAATCTGAAAATTAAAACAATTACTAGTTTATCTGAAATTATAAAGTATTAAAAACAAAATAATTATTAGAAGTGAAAATGGAGTGTTATGTATATTTTAGCACAATTTAGAAATAAAAATTGGCTGCATAAAAATAAGTTCTGCATTACAAAAACTACCATCGCAAAATTGGAAGACATGGCAAACTGGGTAAGAAAAAGTTGCAATTCATCACAAAGAGCTGATTTCCTTTATGTCAAATGCCGGCTAATTCATTAAGAAAAAGACCAACAACTCCATAGGAAAATTAGAAGAGTTTATGCTCCCTAAGAAACATCAGTCTCAACAGAAATACAAATGGTTTTGGTTCTTAAATATGTGAAAAGATGCACATCACTTACATGTTTTTCCACCCTTCGGATTTGTAAAGATAAAGTTTTTTTTTTGTTTTCTTGTTTGTATGTGTGTGTGTGTTTTGTTCTTTCAATCTTGGCAAGAGTGTTGGGAAATACTCTTACACATTGCTTAGTTGAATAGAAAACTGAAAATCCCTGAGATAAATTTGGCAGTTCTACCTCTAGGAATTTTTTTTTTTTGAGTTGGAGTCTCACTCTGTCACCCAGACTGGAGTGCATTGGCCACTCCCGGCCATTGCAGCCTCGACCTGCTGGGCTCTGGCGATCCTTCTGCCTCAGCCTTCCAAGTAGCTGGAACTGCAGGTGTGCGCTACCACACCCGCCTAATTTTTGTTTTTTTTTGTTTTTTTTGATTTATTGTAGAGATGAGGGCTCACCAAGTTGCTCAGGCGGATCTCAAACCCGTGGGCTCAGGCAATCCACTCACCTCAGCCTCCCAAAGCATGGAATTACAGGCTGAGCCACTGAGCCTGGCTTAGGAATTTCTTAAAGCTGTCTTTGCATATTTGCAGAATGGTATGTACCAAAAATTTTGTGATGGCATTGTTTGTAATAACAAGCTTTGAAATGACTTTAATATTTTTTTTTTTTGAGTTGGAGTCTCACTCTGTCGCCCAGACTGGAGTGCAGTGACATGCTCCTGGCCACTGCAGCCTCGACCTGCTGGGCTCTGGCGATCCTTCTGCCTCAGCCTTCCAAGTAGCTGGAACTACAGGCGCGTGCTACCACACCCGGCTAATTTTTTAAAAAAAATTTATTGTAGAGATGCAGTCTCGCCAAGTTGCCCAGGCAGGTCTCGAACCCACGGGCACAGGCAATCCACTCACCTCAGCCTCCCAAGGCGCGGGATTACAGGCTGAGCCGCTGAGCCACTGAGCCCGGCTGACTTTAATATTCATAACAGATACTAAGTAGATAATGGTGTAATACTATATAGCAATTTAAAAACAACCTGAGCTGGGCTCAGTGGCTCAGCCTGTAATCCCGCGCCTTTGGGAGGCTGAGGTGAGTAGACTGCCTGAGCCCGCGGGTTTGAGACCCGCC